AACAGCCATGGCAAGTTTTTTGAAGTTGTAATTTTTTTGTCATAATTTTTCGAAAATTAAGAAATAAAAAAAATGATTTTCACTATTTTTTTTTTTTTACATACTGTCACCAGTGCAGTACAGTGTCATCATATAACTGGCATGGCGGTGATCAGGGACACTGACTGGTGACAGTACGAAAAAAAAATTGATAATTTTTTTTTTTCATATTTCACTATGACCAAAGTAGTATAATGTTACCATAGTAACATTGTACTACTTTGGGGAAGTGATCTATATTTTATTTTATTTTTTTTTTTTTTTTACACAATTTGCTTATAGCAAAGAATTACTTTGCTATAAGCAAGCATTTACCTGAATGAAATCGATTCATTCAGGATTTTTTTTTTCTTCTTAACTGTGATTTAGCCACAGTTAATCACATGACACAGCTGGGCTGTGATTGGCCCAGCTTGTGCATATGATTGCTGTGACCATTCACAGCCAGACACACTTGTATACAATGGATGGCATGAAAGGAAGCCACCCATTGTATACAACTGTCATGTGACCTGCTGTGATTGGTCACAGCAGGTCACATGGTACCAGCAACGGGGCCGGTACTCAGATCTGTCATCGGCCGTGTCCGAGGCGGCTCTGCTGGCATGCAAACTGTGCATTCCCAAAAGGATGCCATATGGCGTCCACCCGGAGGGACAAAGGTGTTTTGCTGGCCGCCATCTGGCCATAGGCCGGGCGGGAAGAGGTTAAAGGGGCAATCATTTTTAATTGCTTTATGATTGATAAAATTGCTAAAAATTAATAAATGCACATTATTTTGCAGGTAAAAAAATTGTGCATTTATTATTTTTTAATGCAGGAGCCTGTAAAGCATTGCACCAGCGATCAGTAGATCAGTAGATAGCTGGTGCCATGCAGGTCTCCTGCAGATCTGTCAGTATATCTGCTTGCCTGTGCAGGATGTACGGACAAGCAGATATACTGACAGGAAGACTCAATGAACTACTACGGACGTGGTAGTTCATTGAGAACTACAAGCTGCCATTTGTTTTTCATCTGACAGATAACAGGAAGGGGGAGGGGGAGATCTCTGTCAAAGCTAGCTGTCAAAGTGGGGGATCGGCAGGGAGCGGGGGCTGGTGCTTTCATAACATGTTACATCCTGAATATGGGTGTAACATGTTATGAAAGGTGAAATTACAATATCCTTTAATGGAACAAGTTGAAGTTAGAAGTTCACTAGCTACCATACACAGCTGCATCAGATTTTGGACTCCAGTTTTAGTAAATCAACCCATAATGAGAGGGACAGAAGAATAGGCAGACACTTTATTAAAACTCGCTAACCCTATTATTAGTCTAGCCATTGAAACCATGCTGAGGAGTGCTCTTTCCCTTTAGTATTGTCCTCTGTGGCTACTGTACATTGCTCACCTTAGTCTGTAACAGCCCTAAGTAACTGTCCTCTAGTGCTTCTCACAATACAGACTGAACGTAGGTGGTGCCAACCTGGAGGGCATCCTTGGTTTCTACTGTGAAAACTGAGTTCACTACTAAAAAAATTCTGAATTGCTCTCTGCTTTTACAGAGATGATTGTAAAGCAACACTTTCTCCAATAATAATAGTATTAATTTATTATTTAGGGCATGGACTATTGCAGCTAATAGGGTGTTCTGCTCCTGCAAAGCACTTAAATAGCATTTCTGATGTGAACCCTTTCCTTGAAAGAAAGCCCATTTTTGGTTCGAATAGAGCTACTAGTGAACACATTTAACTTATAGGCAGGTACAGTCTATTTTCTCCATTGCAGGTGGTGCTTATCTGCAGCGACAATGCAGGTGGAGGAGGAAGTTGAGAGGAACCTGGTACCACTATGGTTTTCTTTATCACAGAGTGACAACTATCTGATTGAATGTTGACACCCCATGTGACTTTAGCAGCCATTTTGGCATCAGGCAGAGTCTATTTAAGACACTGTCTTGTGGAATTGATGCACATTTTTGCAAATGGCAGTGTAGGAACAGTATACCCATCTGGAGGAGTAGGGAAAGTGCAGGGGCATGCCATCCTTCCTGGAAAACTCCCCACTTGGGTACTGACTGGCCAGGCCACATTCCACCCCTCAAAATAGATGCTGTCGGCACCCCTGAATTGTCAGTCTACTGTTGCATTGCTGCCATAACCTGTGAGTGTTCCTGGTCAGATTGCCTTCCCCTCTGGCCTGTTGTGTGTTACTGGACTTCTGTTACAATATATTACTGTAACTGTGCTTTTTACTCCGTGTTTTCTGCCTGCTACATCACCTACCCACAAACTGGATGTCTTCTATAATGCTGAAGATGTCTCACCCTCTCATTCAATTGGCTTTCTCAGTTCTTATGAGTGTCAGGAACACACTCCAGCATGTACAGTATAGCCACAATGGAAGATAGGCCATATTACTACATTCACTATAGTTTCATAAGATGTGTCAAGATGAATTACTATGGGGGATGAATTACTATGGGGGATGAATTACTATATGGGGGATGAATTACTATGGGGGATGAATTACTATATGGGGGATGAATTACTATATGGGGGATGAATTACTATGGGGGATGAATTACTATGGGGGATGAATTACTATATGGGGGATGAATTACTATGGGGGATGAATTACTATATGGGGGACAAATTACTATGGGGGATGAATTACTATATGGGGGATGAATTACTATGGGGGATGAATTACTATATGGGGGACGAATTACTATATGGGGGATGAATTACTATGGGGGATGAATTACTATATGGGGGACAAATTACTATATGGGGGATGAATTACTATGGGGGATGAATTACTATGGGGGGTGAATTACTATATGGGGGATGAATTACTATGGGGGATGAATTACTATGGGGGATGAATTACTATGGGGGATGAATTACTATATGGGGGATGAATTACTATGGGGGATGAATTACTATATGGGGGATGAATTACTATGGGGGATGAATTACTATATGGGGGATGTATTTTCAGTTTTAAAAATGTGGCTCTCAAAATAAATTTCAATCGTGGTTTTGGCGAGATTTGGCTCAGTTGAAAAAAAAAAGGTTGCCCACCACTGGACTATACCATGACCTGGATAAATGGAAGACATCAAAGACAAATTTTCTTACTACATCTTTTCCTACAAATCCACATCCCACTCACTGGGTCTTCTAATGTCAAACTGCAGCTCTTTTCTCCTCTTTTTTCTTCTCTCTTGCCTTCAGTTTCCATCTTGAGTTCCTCTACACTTTCCTCTTACGTATCTCCCCATTTCTGTTTCTTAATGTTTTCTCACTTTCTTCTTTTCTATCTTTCTTGTTCTTCTAAAACTTCTTCTGTCTTTAGAAATAACTGAGCTCATCTATGCTAATGACAGAATTTAAGACCAGAGAAAATTAGAAAGACAACAGCCGTGATACATAACATTGTTTTAAGACCTTTGTGTCTGCTGCAAACCCGGGGAAACATTAGACTGGCCGTTAAAGGGAGAATTATTCAACATAAACACGGCCAGATAGGGAGCCAGCAGTACTTACATTTCTCATTGAGGAATGTTTTAATTATGCTTCCGGATCGTGTGAAGCGATCATGAGAATTGTGGATTAGAAAGGATTACAGAAAACATGTATCATCTCAACCCTCTTGAATGTTATGCTTCTATGCATATTAAACTTTTATTATTCTTTCAGTTTCAGCATATCTAATGCACAATAAAATCTGTTAGATGAAGGAGAGCACAACCTTTCCAGTAAATCTGATATTGTAAGACAAAGCAGGAAAATAACCCTAAAAATTGCTGTTATAACTAATAGCGGTTTATTTACTAAAGCTGGTTCACTCAGAATCTGGTGCAACTGTGCATAGTAGCCAATCAGCTTCTAACCTCAGCTTGTTCAATTAAGCTTTAGCAATAAAACCTGGAAGCTGATTGGTTTCCATACAGAAGTGCACCAGATTCTGAATGAACCAGCTTTAGTAAATAAACCCCATAGTGTTCTCTTATACTGTGATAGCCTCTAGATGAAGTGTTTGATACCCAAGGGTAATATTCATACAGTGCCTTGAAAAAGTTTTCATGCCCCTTGAAATTTCCCACATTTTGTCATGTTACAACCAAAAATGTAAATGTATTTTATTGGGATTTTATGTGATAGACCAACACAAAGTGGCACATAATTGTAAAATGGAAGGAAAATGATAAAGGTTTTCAAAATATTTTGCAAATAAATATCTGAAAAGTGTGATATGCATTTGTATTCAGCCCCCTTTATTCTGATACGCCTAACTAAAATCTAGTAAACCAATTGCCTTCAGAAGTCACATAATTAGTTCACATAAATGTTCACCCCTTCCAAACCAGTGCCATTAGTATAGTGACAGTGCAAAGTATTATTAATGTCATTGGTGATGTCAGTGGCAGTTAGTCAGTTCCTTCCACCATTATAAGTTGCTGCTCACTGCCATTCGAAGTATTAAAATAAATAAAAATTCCAGTATCTGTACCATAGTTTGTAGGCGCTAAAACCTCACGCAAACCAATCAATATACACTTATTGGGATTTTTTATCAAAGACATGTTGCAGAATACATTTTGGCCAAAATTTATGAAGAAATTAGATTTGTAAAAAATGTTTATTGGGTATGTTTTTGAGCAGAAAGTAAAAAATATATATATATTTTTAAAAAATTTTAGCTCTTTTTTTGTTTATATCGAAAAAAAAAGTGGTGATCAAATACCACCAATATAAAGCTCTATTTGTGTGAAAAAAATTATTTAAATTACGTTTAGGTACAGCATTGCATGACCACTCAATTGCCAGTTAACCTCCCTGGCGGTATTCCCGAGTGTAGCTTGGGGTAAACTTTCAGTACCAAAAGCAGTAACCCCGGGCTACACTCGGGAATACCATGCAGCATTGCTCTGGGATCCCTGTTTCACTTACCATGTACTGCGCTCCCGCGATGTGTCCCCTGCAGCGTCCCCGGCCATCTCCTCCGGCCGATGCCAGCATCTGTCTTCCGGGTTCCATTCCCTGTGAGCGTTGGGATGTATGGGACGTACAGGGGGACGGAACTGGCGGGAAATTAAAACATTTTAAAAAAGTGATATTCACTCAATACACTAAGATCACATAGTAAAACATTGCTGTTTCAAAGCATTTCACATACATTTTGTCCCGAGTGCTTTGTCCTGTGCCCTGCCTGCATTTTTACTGTTCTTTCTGCCTGGAAACTGATAAAAGTCCATGGCAATCAAAAAGTGTCCCTTTAGGTCAAAAGCGGTTTTAGACCAGCTAGAGAACAGCGATAGTAAATTAGAACCACTTGCAGAATTGAGTGATAATGATTTGTGGGGAAATTCATCATCAGACACTGAAAACGATTCTGCGAATTTGCTCAGTGATGTGCGAACTTGGCGCTACATTTAAAATTTCAGTGTTTTTGGTTTGATTATATTATTGAATTAAATGTATTGTTGTTATATTATTATTTTTATGATTATTTATTATTATAATTTATGATTTCATGTTTCAAATTTTATCATACCCGAGATGTTTACTAGACTCTTGTTCGGACAGATTTCAGTGAGTTATTCCTAAAAATTACAGGCCTACAATAAAAAAAAAACATATATACATGCAAAAAAAATGTACCGCTTTGAGCACAGAAATATTGACATAATCAGACCGCTAGGGAGGTTAAAGTAGTGCAGTGCTAAATAAGAAAAAAGGCCTGATCATGAAGGGGGTAAAATCTTGCTGAGTGGATGCACTAGCAAAGGGAATTTGTTGCGGTTTTTATGAAAGATACCAGTCTTGATATCAGCAGCTTTTTGCAACATCTTAAAAGTGGTGTTTTGCGTCTGCAATCTAAGCACTATAAATTGAATCTCTAACTAGTCCAGTGAATGAGATGTCTTACTCACAGTCTCAGTAGGATTAGCAGACAGTGACTCGATCCAAATGACAACCAGCAGATTGTAGAAAGCTTGTGAAGATCATACAGATGAACATCAAATAGGTCAGAAATCATGCTATAGCTTCAGCAGGATTAAGTAAATGTGGAGAATGAAAATGAAGACTGAGCATGAAGAAGAAGGAAGGGACAAACTATATAGAACATGCCCTAACTACAGAGGGAGGTAGGGACAACATTATTTAAAGGCAAACACACAAACAATACATGTGTAACGTGATGGTGGACCTTCACCCTGGTAAGGGACTTTAAAGGATAAGTTCAAGTTCTGGAGCATGTTACATGTTGCACCCATATTTAGGGTGTAATGTGTAACATGCTCCAAACCTGCCCCCTGCACCTCCAATCCCCACATTTTCAAAACAGCTCTGTCCACACAGCCACATCGTTCATTCACAGCTATCTGTGAATGAGTAAACTACAAGTACTGTCTACCACCACGTCTGCCACAAATGAGAACTTCTCAATGATCCTTTCTGGACTTCAGTAACTTTTTTCCTGTACGGGAGATAGACAGCTGTACTTAGATATTTAAAAATATAAGTGTACACACCTCACCTGAAGTCATGCAATTACTTCTAAGCTGTACTTTATATTTACTATGATGTATATCTGGAGGAATACCCTAAGGGGATAAAGATATCCATATATTTTCACGATATTTCATGTTTAATACCACACAGTATTCAAGCTATGAAGGAACATGGGACGCTATGAATCTTTCAACACTGTATAAATTCCATGGTATCTTTCTTTTGCATTCTACAAACGGACATATATATTTTTTCTATCTGCACTCTACTTATTGCAGCTCCCACGCATCTGAAGTTTTTATATATATCAAGATATATGCCCAGCTATACTTTTTGTCCATTACTATCATTTAATATGTATAGTTAATATGTCAATTATATAGAGCCATGATTTACATGGTTAAATATGGTTTCAGATGAAACATCACAGCGCTGCTAATTATCTTTAACCAGTCTCTAGTGAATACCACTAAAATATATTAATGTTGCAATCTGGATTGCTTTTCTTTCATTGTTTTTAATGTGTATTCAGTGATTGTATGTGTCACTATCCACAGATTTTATTCTTTTTCCCTACATGGGATTAATAAAAATATGTGATTTTACATAAGAGCTACATTGCTTGGGTGTTTATTACCTAATTTGGTAGTTTGCCTCTGGGAACTACTACTCTTTTAGCTGTACTTAGGGCCTGCAGGAGCTTGACGATCTGGTAACCATGGGTGCAATTCTCTGTAGCCTGGAAAAAATGTGCATTTATTATTTTTTTTTAAGTAAACATATCTTTTAGGTTCCCACCTTGGCCACTCTTTGCTATTTTTTTTTCCTTTGGGCTTGTTTTACATTTTTTTTAAATATTAGTTCTGTGACCCTGCTCCCATCTCCCGCACCATTTTTTTCTAGGAGAGAATAACGTGTCCTACTCTTGCAGCCTCCTGGGATATTTCCTTTACATATCCCAGGAGGGTGCTGATTTGGGTTTATATGCACTTCAGGAAGGGATTACTCTGAATGGAGTGGTAATTCTAACAGATGGTGACCAATAAGATGATTGACATAACTCCCTTATACTACTGAATGGAAATTTGCACAGTGGTTTTTTATATATCTACTACCAAGAAAAAAAAATGTCAGTACTGACTGTAATTTAGAAAGAACAAATATAGAAAAGCGACAGCAGAAAAAGACCGAGCGGTTCATCGAGTCTGCCCATTTTTTTTTTCTTGATTTCTGTTTTTGTGAGTTTTTTTGTCTGAGTATAGATCTATGCTTGTCCCATACATGTTTAAAGCTATTTACTGTTGACTGGCTGACTACCTCTGCTGGAAGTTTATTCCAAGCATCAACTACTTTTTCCATAAAATAGTACTTTCTGACATTAGTTCTGAAAATTTTTCCTCCAGTTAGTTTAAGGTCATGTTCCCGTGTTCTTGATTTTGGTTTCATGTTGAAAATACTGCCCTCCTGAACTTTATTCACCCCCTTGATGTATTTAAAGGTTCAATCATGTCTCTGCTTTCCCTCCTATACAAAACCATTGTATATTCCATTTAGAGTGTCAGCAATTCAAAGTTTACTATATAGCTATTTTAGATTATAATACTCCCTACTGCAGTTCTTTGATTGAAAGATTTTCAATTTTGGACGACAGTTTTTCTTTAATGTTTAATTAGAGGACATTTGCATTGTTTTATAAGAGTTAATTTTGTTCCCGCAGAGGTTACATCAGCACAGAACAATGCAGTGTAATGAGCTGTCGTTCTCCTCTAGAATCTTTCCTCAGTGGGATCTCCTGGCATGGGCTAATGAGAATGAATCTCTGTTTAATGACTAATTTTCTTGTTGTGGGATTTGCACTTGATGTTCATCATGCTGTGCACTTACCTTTATAAATTCAGTAACCTTACTGTTCCCCTGGAGTCATAGAATAGCAGTCTCCTTCAATAATTGTAAGCCCCACTTGCTGGGTATAGACTACATACTGTATTTCCAAGTCTAAATAATTTAAAGTGAACTTAATCTGGCCTTAAGCCTTTATAATGTAGCAGCACTGCTGATATGCAGATACCCTGTGGTGCCTGCAAGCGCCCGTGTTCGTTTTTAAAGCCGAACTCCAGCTGTCCCTTTATTCTAGCACAGGCTCCTCTTCTGTACTGAAGTGACTTGTGGGGAGGTGCTGGGTGGTTTGGGCAGTAAGTATACAGAGTTCGGTTGCAGTAAAACTTGGAACCTGTATTAAACAGAATGCCAACGTTACAAACACCCTGGATAGAGAGCGCCTCTAGGCAAATAACTCACAGTTCAAGGTAGTCAGATGTCATGGAGGAGAGGTACTGACAGCATCTGTCTCAGAGGATGAAGTGTGGCCTGGCTGGTCATGTCCCAAGAGGGAAGCTCCTTTCAGGAAGGCAAGTCTCTATCCTGTCCCTCCTTTTTAGGATCATTTCCCTACTGTTAATTACTTTCCCTAACAAGTGGGGTCACTCTCCCTATACTAACCACATGCAAGAAGCATGTCAAATCCCGGAAGAAGGAAGGGACTTAAATAGACTCTGGTGACCTAAGATGGCAACTGAAGGCCACATGGTCGCATCGTAGCCAACATGAATGCTGCTCCACTGACCAAGGAAACCATAGATAAACTTTTTTTCTCTTGGACTTCCTCTCCAGGCTGTGGTACCACTTGATTTGAGCACCATCCACAGTGGAAAACACAAACTGCACCTGCCTACAGGCTTAATCTTATTTCACTGCACACTGTGAGCTATCTTGTAGCTGTTGCAAGAGGAAGGTGGTCCCAATGCCTCGGCAGCATCTTCTTCTGGGTGTTGGTCTTCAGCCATCATCATTGGCTCATGAGCGGATAACATCACTAATGCCAGAGAATGCTGCAATTAAGCCAGATGTGTCTTTCATTTCAAAAGAGACATTAAATGTTCCCTCCTCAATAAAAAGCCCACCTGCTTGCAGTTTGCCACAGTAGAATTTTAGTTCTGTTTTAGGGATTCAGGCAGGGGAAGAGTTAAGTGCTAGGTGGAGCTTTGGTCTTAGGGACAATTGGCAGAGGGGATGCTTAGGTGACAGTAGGATTTACACATGATTTCAGCTCCATGCCAAATACTACCAGCCCTGAAGGCTAATGCACCACCATCGCAATGCACAAAGCAAACATAAATGCAATCTACAGTGCCAAAAAATATGCCTTCCCTAGTGTCGTCTTATTGTAATTCTTGCTTTCTTTTCTGAACTGTTGCTTGCTCATCAGCTGAAACTCCTCTAATTGAGATTCACTTCTCTAGTATGTGTGCTACAAAATCTCACTAGAGAAATAGATTACTGCGGGACTTGTAATGTAGCAAACAACATCTGTCATCACACGAGCAGCCTTGATTTCTTATCAGAGATTTTCTTGTTGGATTCTGTTTGGCTGGGTCACTCGAGGACTCTGAATTTCATCCTGATGAGATACTACATGGAGGCTTTCATTTTTCATTGCCCCATTTTTTGCTCGATCCTTGAAAACAATATGTGGTCATTTGCAGGGGTCTTTGGTCTTTAAAGTATAAATGATATAAAGTGCTGGCATTATGCAGTGCTATACATAAAATAAAAGGGTACATGTCACATACATACCATACAGCACGTACACCACACTCATTTACAAATATACCATAATCAAGGAAGCATAGGGACACTACTAACAGCTACCACACAGCACAATGTGTTGAACATGGGGTCCAAAGACTCTGTGTGCTGTACTTGGAGATTTATAACTAAAGCACCTTTCGCGGAGCCCACTTGCAGTCCACTTGCTCAGCAGGGGATCTG